GGACCAGGGCAGCCACGCCCTCCGAGGGCTGGGCGCGCGCTCGCCGAGGGGCAGGTCGCGGGAGCAGGGTCTCCCCGTTCGCACCCCCGCACCGACTGCTGCTGGAATAGAAATGCCGCTCTGTGCCTGTTTTCTAGGGGTGGTGGCGGGGGGCTGTGGACGCCCCCTCGGAGGCAGCCGTAGGGCACTGTGTTGGTGACTGTCACTGTGGTGCTTGAACCTGGGCTTGAACCTGACTGGCCGGAAACTGAACAATGGGTGAAGGGCAGGTTTGAAGCCTGGCGCCAGAGCCGGGAAGCGGGTGGCAGCGTGTTACAAGGAGGCACCACTGGGAGGCGACGAATTGGAGTTGGTCGAATTAGAAGCAGGCCCTTGAGGATTAATGCAGGGAAGGAGAAAGGTGAGAGCAGCGGCCCCCACCGCTGTGCATGCGAACGGGCTAGCCCAGGGTACCAGTTCCCCTGGCATGGAGATGGGCCATACTCATTTACTCAGTCAACAGACATTCCTGGGAGGCTGCCATGTGCCATGCAGTGTTCCAGACACATAAAAGATCACTTGGACAAGCTCTGGCTCTCCAGGGATCAGTGGACAAGGGAGTTGATCTTAAACTGAGGGTATAGAAGTAAAAGAAAGCTGGTTTCTTTGTTAGCCTACTAGAAAAACGTAAAATCCATTTTCTAAACTATAAATAGCTGGACCTTCTCTGTATACTTCTAACTGCCTACCATTACATCCTGCTCAGTAACCTTCCATGGCTCCCTATTGCCTATTAAATTAAGTAGAGACTTCTCAGCCTGTGCGTTGCAGGCCCTGCACAGTACCTCCCCTGGCCTCATCTCTCACTATGTTTGCCTAGATGTACTTTACAAATCAGGCTGGGCTATAAGAGCTTTAAGATCTTGCACATCCTTTATGTTTTGAGTCAGGGGTTCTCAGTCCCGGCTGTACATTAGAATCATCCGAGTAACTTTAAAATATGCTTATGCCCAGGCCCACCCTAGCTTTGAGAATCACTATTGAGCCACACCTGAGCAACCTCGGTCTGGCCTCTGGCCACGGGCAAGTTGACAAATGCAGATTGTTACAATGCTCCATTGATTGCAAATTCATAAACCCTTGCTTGGCTTAGAAACATGAGGAACAACTCTTGACCACAGCCACCATTAATCGTCCCGTAATGCTGAGCTGCAAAATTTGTTATAGAAAACAGTCACTAAATGTAACTGGCCTAATCAAGTGTTTAAAAGGACTAAAATTTCTTGAATCAGGCGAACATGTGACCGTTAGCAGGCTGACCTCAGGTTTCTATCTGCTGATAAGACTCAGCTTAAGTCAGGAGAGCTCATCCAGCGCCTTCCTTCCACCCAGAATCCTCTAGATGCTGTGAGTAACCTGTGATGCAGTTTGGACTTGAGAAATCTCAGCCTATGTAGACAACGTTCCATACCCTTCAGCTCCAAATCACCCACCCGAACAGTTCTGCAGCACCAAAACGGATAATGGCTGTCAGTTTCTCCCAATTCTCTCATTTCATTTTGTAATCATATGAGCTGGTGTGGTCACTGCCCCCAGTTTACAGGTAGAGAAACTAGGCTCTGAGGGGATGACTTGCCCACCACTGTACAGCTGGTCAACAGAAGAACCGGGCTTTGAACTCAGATCTGGCTTATTGTACATCAAGTGCTTCTTCCTCTAGTCCATCTTGCCCGAGTCAGGAAACTGTATCCTTGTAGCCCATCCACAAGGAGTATCTTAAGAAAGGGCTCTCTGGAAAGGCAGGGGTGGGGAGTGGGGGGCGGGAAGAGATTAGTCAAAGAGCTTATATGCATCTATGCATAACCCATGGACACAGACAATAGTGTGGGGAAGGCCTGGGGGTGCCGGGTGGAGGGGATCAATGGGCAAAAAAAGGGGACATCTGTAATATTTTCAACAATAAAGATAAGTTTTAAAAAGAAAGAAGAGAGAGAGAGAGA